ATGTGCCATCTCTGATGATCATTTGCATATTTGACGTACCAGCTCTGATGATCATTTGCATATTTGATGTACCATCTCTGATGATCATTTGCATATTTGATGGACCATCTCTGATGATCATTTGCATATTTGATGTACCATCTCTGATGATCATTTGCATATTTGACGTACCATCTCTGATGATCATTTGCATATTTGATGTACCATCTCTGATGATCATTTGCATATTTGACGTACCAGCTCTGATGATCATTTGCATATTTGATGTACCATCTCTGATGATCATTTGCATTTTGACAGACCATCTCTGATGACCATTTGCATATTTGACGGTCCATCTCTGCTGACAACTGGCCAACAATACTCCCTCAACACACAAGTATGTACTTGATATATATACTTAATTCACTGCCATCAACATATCTTATTCAACATTGTATGTACTCGTTTTTTTTTTAAATAGATGTTTTTATTTGTCAACTGAAGTACATCAGGGCTCTGTATTGACTTTAAAATGAAAACTGTTTTTTATTTGTGTATTGTATTTATTTATTTGCATTTCATTTAGATTTGGAAAAAAGTACTTGTGCCGTAAATTTTTTCTAAATATTATATTCTATGTTGTACTAAGTCAATGAGTTTTATTAATGTGATTGTTCAGTGTACTGAATTTAGTACACAAAAGTGCTTTTTTCCATTCAACTTAATAATTATACATTTCCAAAGTTTTAATCAGATTGCAAATATTCCATCTCACACTTACGGTAGCTTAGAAAGATATTTTAAATATATTTTTTTGTCTGTCCCTATTTATACCGGTACTTTCAGTGAGTTTTAAAGATGCGTGTATTGCTATGTACAAATTACCTCGGCCTGTTGTTATCATGCTGTAACCAATCACGCAATAGAATTTTTATGGTACCTTTTTTTTTCACCAATACTCTGAATTTGTCTTATTGTGTGCCACATTGTAAACCATGTAACAGGGACTATGTCATTAATGTTTACTTCTTGAAATTATAACAGTTAATAGTTAGAGTTTCATCACTAATGTCTGTGGAGTTTGCATTGCTTGTTTCCCAACCACAGAAAACGATGGTGTATGTTACTATTATGAATTGTCATCAATACAGCTTGAACACAGAAAATGATGATGTATGTTACTGTTATGAAGTGACATCACAGTAGCTTGAGCACAG